TTTAAAATATATTTTCGTTTCTGCCAGAGAAAAGGAAAAATGTGTTGGAAGACCTTTTGTTGATTACAGAGGAACGTGGGACCAAAGCCACACAATACAAAAGGTCAATTTAACCCGACACTCGGTTCAAATGGAAATTGTTTTCATGTGTTCAGAAACATTCAAACCCTGTAATTAGATGGTCAGGGACCCAGCTAATCCGTAAGCAGTTTTAGTAGATACCATGATTAATGTGTGTTGGTGTGTTTTTCTTATTATAACCTTTCGTGGAAAATTTCTCCTGGATTTTTTTTACTTACACGACAAACTTTCTGATAAATCGGTCTGCAGTTTGTTAGTTGGCAACACAATTAATGTAAGCTATACTTTTTATTTATTTTTATTAAATCCGGCCAGGTGTCTCGAGCGTAGAGTGAGCGGTTCGCAACAGGAAGGCCACGAGTTTAAATTCTGCTTGGGGGTTCACTCGGCCCTCTCCCTTCAGTCAGTACTATATCGTAAAGGTTGCCAACAGTGGCTGTGCTATGGATATATTTACCCCGACCATCGGAATGTGGAATTTACACACCTGCTTCAGGGGTTGTAAACAGAATGCGGGCACCACCGCAATGCTCTGTTGAGCAAGAAAACAGAGGCTTTTGATAGAGAAGTGTAATGCTTAAGTCATGTTTCGTTTCTGAACAATTGAGTCTACCCTTGATACTTTTATCATCAGGTTTGTTTGGGAATAGTGTAATTGGGAATACTATAATATTATTATTCAGTGTTCATCACAAATGGTCCAAGCGTTTTCCTATACAAGTTCTACCCAACTCCGTCGTGAACTGCGATCAGGATATCAGCAGTGCCACATTGTCGCCACATGGTGGTGTAATATAATTCCAAGACTCTGACGATCGTTCCTTAAGTCACTCTGCTGCCCCTGTCCCAAGTGTAAACATGTCCAGTCAAACTCCCTTTTAGAGGTGGCCCGACTATTTGTGAATTCTTCCATATCTCCGAGAGACGTGGCCATCGAAATATCCGGGGTTCAGACCAAATAGCAAGAGTTATTATATTTGCCAAATAGCAAGAGTTCTTTGGCAAAAAACTCTTGGCAAATACTTCCAAATACTCACATTTCCCACACCGCATATTAGCACGGTTGGCTATGTACGGCGCGAAAGAAGTTCAACATACACCTTCCTGTAGTGGCGAGATGTTCACTACCTCGCTTGGTATGCAGGCTATCGTGGGTTTGATCCCGACCCTGACACCTGCTGTATATTTGCAGTTTACATGTTTCTCTCCCCGTGGTCGCGTGGATTTTTCTCTGGGTCCTCCGGGTTTTCCCTCCACGTTTAGAAACATGCGGTTTGAGTACTTGGCTGCTATACATTTCAAAATGAAAATCCATGATAAACCACTTCGTTGAGCTGTCATTTGTGGCCAGGTCGCTTCTGAAAAAGAGCGACATGGCTCAGTGGACCTTACCTGGTAAAATAAATAAAATTGTTTAGTTTATTAATGAATACATTGAGTTATTATTAGAACCTGCCAATTCTGATGCAGCACTTTCTGCACTGAATCGTTGAGATGCGATCCTTCGGTGCCTCTGCTCACATCGCGTCAAGCGAGCTGCCTTTCCCCGACCCCCCGCTTTTGGAAACAAATGGCAAATTTCAGCAGCACTCACATTGCCTTACACGCAGTGCTGTCTGGTGCCTGAGAGCGAATCTCTGGCTGGGACTCTGGATATTTGGAACTGTGGTACCCATCCCCCCGTTTATTCCCGATAAACAGAGTTAGTATTGTGTTGCTAAAAACAAAAGGTATTTCTTCACACAATTCCCATCGCGCTATCGCTGCCATATAATGGGATGAAGAGTCCATTTGGAAATTCCACAGAGAGCAGTTTCTACCATGTTATTTTGCGTGCCAGAGAACGGCTGAGAAAGTTGCACAGTACTTCTGCCAAATCATCCCTCAAGTGGACATTGTATCCTTTACACTGTAGATTTCACATTTTATCACACACTCTGCTATGAGATTGTCATAAGTGACGGGGCTGAGATCATCCAGTCACCACACTTGAGAACCCGGTTGAATCTGGTGACTTTCCAGATTAAAACTGACCACCTCATCAGTGCAGGCCTCAAAGAGACATCCAGCTGCCTCCTCTCAACCTTCCTTGGTGATGCTTTGTTGGCCATGGTGTACAAGCAAAATTTGACAAAATAACTCAACGCGTTCGTCAATAACACTGCCTTGAGAAAAATAAATAACTGCAACGTTTCGGGCAATGGCCCTCCTTCACAGCAAACAGAGAGGCCAGGGGAGTGGAGCGACTCGTGTTATTGACTCACGTGTTGAGATTTCTTCTAAGCTTGCATGTAACACACATCACAGTACACTAAATATACACTGTATACACACAAGTTGTGTTTTACACTGTGCACAGCATCCACAAAAAGACAACAACGACGCATTCCACATTATCAACTAACGTTTATTTGTTGCTGTAAAATATTGAATTTGTCATTGGTAAAAAAAGAACAATAACGAAGTGATTAGCATGTGAGTGGTGTCGGTGAATATTACTCAATCCATATTTGTTGTAAAGAGGATTTTGAGTTTATGCTTTTACAATAATGCCTGGTCGTTATGCGTTGCAGTGATGTATGTGTGCGTGCGTTTAAAAGGAAGGTTTCCCCAGCAGAATATATGGGTGATCGTTGTCTTTGCTGCGAAGACAAATTGGTCGTGTAATGCTTAGCACACTGTTGTATAAACCCAGCAACCTGGCTGGGCCTTCCCCGTGCTCAACTTTTAGCTTTACACGGAGAAGCTCATTCCGTGTCGAGAGCGTCAGCAAAGGGGAGACAAAGTCAACTGGGCAAGCTGTTGGCATCGCTTAACACCTCCGACGATTATATGAAGGGCCTTTGTCTAGGGGTGAGAATTTCATGTTCTTTGGCTCAGACTTGTGTCTGGTGCGAAGCAGTGGTGTGCAATGTGAGTGCGTGATTCACTGCTGTCGGTGTGCGGTGTGTTTGCCGCAGGTTGTTGCTTGATAGACGCAGGAAATTGCGTTGATCGTGAAGAATTCCACCCAGGGCTGGCGCCAGATGTCAAGTGTGCACTTGGCAGCCGGCAACAATAAATATGGCTCTTACATTAAACGTACAAGCAGCTTAGACTGGCGAACTTTACATTGCAGGTGGTGCAGCTTTGCAGGGAATAAAAACACGAATTGTAGAAATGAAAAACTTTGCAAAATAAAATACGTTTGTACAGACTTCCGCAGAGGGTAGAGCAGAACAATCAATTTTGTTGTCCTCGAATATACAACCAAAGAATATGCTCCCCACATGCAACATGTCCATATCAATACTGCTATTCCACAATTCCAGAATTACGTTATGCTATTGGTTTTAGCCTCTGGAAAGAAAAGCAAGCACATTCGTGTGCCTTGCTTGTTGTTATCATTCTACAGTGACATCGAGATTTGTTATATCAGCCGGAAGAACCCGGCGAGCTTTGAAGCTCTTTTCACAAGTGTCCCAACACATCTTCTTGGTTCTTTCGGTAAAGTCACGTAGAAGGGAAATAATAAAATAATAAAAATAAAACATAATAAAATACAATTCTCACGACGTTTCGGCCACAACGCAAGCAGCCGTCCTCAGGTGAAGAACAGGTCTGTCGGAAAGGCAGCGTCTGAATGACGCTGAAGAACAGGTCTGTCGGAAAGACAGCGTCATTCAGACGCTGTCTTCTCGACAGACCGGTTCTTCACCTGAGGACGGCTGCTTGCGTTGTGGCCGAAACGTCGTGAGAATTATTTTATTGTTTTATTTTTATTATTTTATTATTTCCCTTCTACGTGACTTTACCGAAAGAACCAAGAAGATGAATCCCTGCAGTCACTAAAGCTTTAAATCGAAATGTCCCAACACAGTCATCATCAGCAGCAGCATCAGCAGCATCAGCAGCATCAACAGCAGCAGCATCAGCAGCATCATCATCAGCAGCAGCATCATCAGCAGCAGCAGCATCAGCAGCAGTCGCCATGGTCACTACACCACATCTCATGGTCCCGCGATGCAGCAATCCGTCTCGTGCACACGAGCTGCTGCTGATCTGTGTCCGAGTTGACACGTCCCTCCATCGCCTTGACCCCGCCACCCCTGCCCGAGCCACTTGCACCAACAACATACATGTGTTCAGCCCACACGGTTTAGCCCGTATTCTTGTACAGGGGAATTGAGTCTTTCAGGTCCATAAGGCGTACAGCCGTTTCAATACGGGCAAAATTCAATGTCTGTGTTTCTCCCTTGTGATGGGACTTTGTAGGATGAACGTTGAGATGTACAAGGGGCACGGGATGACCAATATGGTCTGACTTGGTCTGTACTAAGGTGGGGCAGCACTGATAAGGGATTGATAGGCGCGTAACCGTACAGACTCACTCGCCCACTTCGCTTGGCTGACCTGGCCTCCTCCCATGCCCACCGCGGCTCATTGCCCAGAAAACTTGCGGCGCTGATCCAACATTGGGCCGATGTTCCTTGTTTGCTGGGTATCGGTGGTCAATCTGTCACTCACTCCCCCACTCTTCTTTGACTCTTCCCTTCCTCCTCGCTTCTCGCCTTCAAACCACGACCGTAAAAGCGATGGCCGGGTATTCCACTCTCCATGTTCGTCACTTTCACCGCCCGCCCGGCTCGGAGTCCAACTCGTACCTTGCACTCGTGCGACGGCATCGTCGCCTTCGCTTACGTGCCTTAGCGCCAGTCAAGTGAAAGTCGTTGTTGATTTGGCACTCATTGCAGTCAAATAAAAAGTTTAGTTTATCGTCAGTTTAGCCATGTTAATCCTTGATATTGGGAAAACATTTGATTCGCCGGACCCTTGGAATTAGAATTTATGGATGGATGTGAGGGCAATGGATGACAAGTCTCACTGTATTTGTGACCCTTTAACAAACTGTACCAAAAAATATTACTCGAACAGAAAAATAAGATCAACATTTTATTTCAAATTCAGAATTATTAGTGTATAAATCTGTCTAAGAACGGAGCAAAATACATGCAAATTATTGTATTTGAGCAAAATACAGTTACGCAACACCATGTTAGATATATGCTTGCAATGCTTGTGTTCGTATTAAGAAGATAGCTCTAAGTGAGTTGGGTGACAGATCATTTTCAGGAAACAAGGATAAGATGCGGTTGGGAATAGAGCTGAGGTTATAGAACAGCTTTACTAATCATTTAGAACTACAAAGACCACACACTGTGACGAGGTCAATCGGTTTTGTGATTTACACAGGATGGATGCCACAATCTTCACTGAGGGCATTTCTTGAGAACTCTCAGAAAATCCATCCAAGGTTGGCTCCAGATGTCCAGTTCACAGACCATAGACTAGGACACGCAAAAAAAAACTAGTTTTAACCACAGATGGAAAATGCAACATGAATACCAGCATATGGTGAATGAAAATTGTTGTGCCCAGGATGCTGCCCTGGTGTAAGGGTTAGAACACTGGACTTGCAAATCCAGGAGGTCGCCGGAACAATATCTCAGCGTAGCAGTTTAAAAAAAGTGCAAGTTTCTTAAATCCCCCCCCCCCACCTCTGACCACCCAGCAATATAAATGGGTAAATTGGCAGGACGGGTGTGGAAGAGTAGGCCATGAATACTCTCTGGGAGTTCTCTAGAGCTTTCTCCCGTAGAGGCCCATTCACCAGCAATGGCATAAGCAAGAAGTTGCAGGGCTGAACCTTTACCTTGTGTTGTGAAAAATTGCAATACTCAGAATATTTAACATAAACCCGGTGCATAATTCACTTCCAATTTTCGTTGCTTTTTTACTGCTGTCATTAAATGTTACCCATCCATTCTGTGCACAATAATATAACATTGTGCAGTCTACTGCTGGGGTGGACTTCAGGTGAAGTGGTGAAATAAATAAGCTATATATATAAGCCCAGCAACCTGAGTTTGATTCCTGTCTGTGGCTAGCATCAGTGGCACGTGACATCTGAACTGGTTTTGGGGCCACATTCACCAACTCACACTGACCAGTGGTGAAGGCCAAACAACATTTGTAACTGACAATGCATGGCCTATATATTTTAGTGAATGTATCTTTTTATGTCGTTAATGTATTCACATTCCTATACTTAAGCTGAAAAAAATATCACGTTTACGAGTGATAAACGTGTATTTTTTATATTGATGTTTACTAAACAAACTTTTGCAGCGAATATGTAGAGTACTACTGAATCCCACGTTCATTCAATGTAGAGTGCTCCACTGATGGTTACCTTGCCAGCATTGACCGAGTTGTACGTTGAGCAGTCGTCAGGGCTTTGAGATTTGGGGCAGTTTGTTTCTCTCAGCTTCACCGTGATCAAGTAACGTATGCCACTGACAACCTGAATAAAATGCACACATAAGAGACGAATACACAGGTAGAAACTAAAATATCAGAGCCAACATCAGATGTTTAAAATACGCGAAGCAGAATTACTGCAGAGCACTACAGAAGCATCACAACACAACGCCCCCCTATTGTTCACCATCACAACAGCGCCCCTATTGTTCACCATCACAACAACGCCCCCTATTGTTCACCATCACAACAACACCCTCTATTGTTCACCATCACAACAACGCCCCTATTGTTCACCATCACAACAGCGCCCCCTATTGTTCACCATCACAACAACGCCCCCTATTGTTCACCATCACAACAACGCCCCTATTGTTCACCATCACAACAACGCCCCCTATTGTTCACCATCACAACAACGCCCCCTATTGTTCACCATCACAACATCGCTCCTATTGTTCACCAACACAACAACGCCCCCTATTGTTCACCATCACAACACAACAACATTGTTCCGCGAGACCAGGGCTCGGGCAAACCAAAACAACAGCAGCAAAACATTTAAAAAAACCTCAATACTCGAAGAGCCGCAATGCACGATGTGAGTACTAGTGGTGGTGAGTACTAGTGGTGAGTACTAGACGTGGTGAGTACTAGTGGTGAGTACTAGTGGTGAGTACTAGTGGTGGTGAGTACTAGTGGTGAGTACTAGTGGTGAGTACTAGTGGTGGTGAGTACTAGTGGTGAGTACTAGTGGTGAGTACTAGTGGTGGTGAGTACTAGTGGTGAGTACTAGTGGTGAGTACTAGACGTGGTGAGTACTAGTGGTGAGTACTGGTGGTGAGTACTAGACGTGAGTACTAGTGGTGAGTACTAGTGGTGAGTACTGGTGGTGGTGAGTACTAGACGTGAGTACTAGTGGTGAGTACTGGTGGTGAGTACTAGACGTGGTGAGTACTAGTGGTGAGTACTGGTGGTGAGTACTAGACGTGGTGAGTACTAGTGGTGAGTACTAGTGGTGAGTACTAGACGTGGTGAGTACTAGTGGTGAGTACTGGTGGTGAGTACTAGACGTGGTGAGTACTAGTGGTGAGTACTGGTGGTGAGTACTAGACGTGGTGAGTACTAGTGGTGAGTACTAGAAGTGGTGGTTTTTTAATAAACTCTTAAGAAGAAGCAGCAGCAGCAGCTCGGTTAAGACGCATTCAACTCGACACACGTGACCCTCTGTTGAACTTCTTTCGCACCATACGTAGCCAAGCGTGCTACTCGTACAGCAGCGTAACCCATAACGCATCATCTGCACGGCTCCACGAGACAACAACAACACAAACCGTGCCGCTCTTAGAAGACATTCACACACAACGACATCAGAGTGACAGACACCACCTGCACGTTGGCCCACCTGCGACTTGGCTCTGACAACTCTGTCGGCCTTCTGCCACGTGGCGCTGTCCGACTCGTCGTTGAGCTTCTGCATGGCCTGGGCGACGATCTCCTGCACCTCCGCGTTGTTGCGGCTCAGCTTCTGGAACCCTCCCGTCATCCTCTCTCCCCGCACCGCCACCACCGCCACGCACAGCAGCAGCAGCAGCCACAGCGCACGACCGCTCGGAATCATCTCGGGTCGCCTCGGACGGACTTCAACTTCTGTTGCTTCGCTCTTTACAAATGTGCCCCCAACTCGGGCGAGACGGAGGCGGTGAGAGAGAGAGCGAGTGGCTGGTTGTTGTTGTTGTTGTTGGGTGTTATCAAGCCACCAGCTGGTGCGGTGCAACAGCAGCAGCGGGGTGGTGGTTTGTGTGCACGTACGAACATAACAGGGCCCCTTTTGTCCTTCCGGGGCAGGGCGGGTTACACGCGGTCACTTTTTTTTATTATAAAATTTTAAGAGGATTTCGCACATGTGGCACTTTTTTTTCATCATTTACTGGAATTGCTCACGCTGGCGAAGAGAAATTGCGTGTGTGCGAAACTGATAAAAACAAAACAAGTTTACTTGTACTGTGTAAATTATTGCCCAAATATGTAACTTTGAGTAAACGTTGCCATGCAATTGGGAAACCATCGGACTGACATAGGCTAAATGTTCAATGTTTGCTGGGTTACGTCTATCCCTCTTTAACGCCATTTCCACCACCATGAAGATTCTCTAATACAGTATGTATATACTGTAGCAGCTGTAACATAGAGGATTGTATACATGGTATTAGCTCCACAATAGTCGTTATGTACATTTGAAAATTGGTTTTGAATTTCACTGGTTATAGGAGTTGATTCAACTAAATTGTTTTTTGGGCCAAATTTCAGCTTTTTAACTATTCTGGAAGTGAAAGTTCATTTATTCCCCCCCCCCCCCCCCCATATTATGGGGGCCCAAATGGCTAATTTGTTTGAAGATGGCATTTTTGACCATCTAAAACTGGGAAACTGTGATTGGCCTCACAAACTCTAAATCAGTTGATCATGATGCTATATAACTGAAAGACATGGAAATTGTGAGCATTAGCTTTATTGCAGTAGATTAAATTAGAAAATGAAGAAATATCGAGAAGAGTAATGTATAACCAGAGAAGGATGTTGCAGGTAAATCAATCGCAAAGTAAAACCACAGTGTCTGAGTCTGCACACATTGTCATAAATGCTTACATTTGTTTGTGTGGAGTGTCACTGGCAGTATTCTTTAGCAAAACCAAAATAACACAAAGCCAACAAAAATAGAGACAAGAAAATCACAAAGTCTGTAAATAAGCAACCTCGTGATGGATGGTTTAGCCATGTACACATTGATAAATGAAATCACATTCTGATGTGGCAGGGTGGCTCATGTCCAAGTACTGAGATGATGCCGCCAAGATCCTGGGATCGAATCCGGTCAGTCTCAACCTGGTCACTGCGGTTTGTCCAAGTCAGTAACTCGGATATTCTGCAATCAGCACACCACATCCAGTATACCTCCAGCAGTACTCCTCACACGCTTAGTAGAGACCCAGAAATATTGAGAACTTAAGCGATGCCGGTCACCAATAACTGCACATGCAAAAAAGCGATCAAATCAAACTTGGGTTTGCACTTAATTTGTATAAATTCTAGATCTGAGAATAGAATTGAAATACTGTAGAATATACCGGCTTGACTGTCGTGATAAACATTATTCTCGTATGGGAGAGTGGTGAGAAAGAGCTCTACTCTGGATCAGTTCAAACGAAGGGGTCTCAAAGATAGCTCTATATCCAATTCCATGGGATGTTTTAAAACAATATGGGGTGCGATGCTCTGCGAGAAAGCCACAAGGACACTTCATCTTATGACATGATGCCGACAGGACAATCAAGTTAAGTGGAAAAATGCCTTTTTAAGTACATTCTTGCATTTATAGTTACAATATTTTCAATTTTCAAGCAGCCCCCAAGACTAATATGCCATGAGGCATTCATCCAGCAGTGGATTAACAACGGGTTGTAAAGACATTTTGTAATTGGTTCATATGGCCCCGACAGCCATTGAAGATCCCACATACTCCACAATATTGAATACATTTGGTATTTGCACCAAATACTGTAGACACGGTACTGTCCAAACGCCTCTGGTGTTATGTTTTGGGCAAGATTTTTTATTTTACAGCCCAGTTGTCAGTTCGCTTCTGGAAGAAGGCGTCCCCGTTCTGGATGAAGTATGATTACGCAAAACTTTACAGGATACAATAAGTACAGCACAATTAAAACCAATATTTATATTTTGATCGAATTGCTGCCACTATGCACGATATAGTGGCGTATCAGTCAGCAGCATCATCAGCCATGAGCAATGCACTGCTGAAGGCATCCCCACATCCAAAGTTATCATACCACTTAAAATAACAAACATGTTTAAGAATCAAAGTTTAATTTAAAAGTGAATCAAATTTTAATGATTACTGATAAGACCCTTAAATGTATTGTAATTTTGTCGGGGTAATGGTCCGAAATGTTCAAAAATCGCAATTGGAATATAAAGCATATGATTAGCATAGCCTGTGCGGTGGTGTATGGCTCATGAAGTCATGATGCCTACAGAATGCAAGTTAATTAATGTTGTCTAAATTACACATCTTCTGAACTTCCAGTTCCGGCTCCCATGGTCGGTCAACCATTTCCACAATACAGATGGAGGTCTGGAACAATACACACAAAAAGTTAAAATATATGTTCAATTGCAGGACAAGATCATAGTAAATTTCACAATGTTCACCACTACCATTACCTTTAAATAGAAATATATACTTTACAGTGGTAGGTTGTTTTCAACAATGACCACAATTACAGTTCATTTTAAGAGTTATGTTCGAGATGTTTCTCTGTTACAATACACTATATAATGAAGTATTTTGCCTTATAATATATCTAGTTCCATTATAAAACTAAAGGTGCAGCTCTGAAACTGCTTGATCGAGCTCCTGCTGGTGGAAGGACCTCTAAGACGGAGCTCTGGACAGTATCACAAGGGGGTAATTCGCCTACTCTATATACACACTGGCCAAACGCCTTGACAGATGTGAGAGTACCCACACTTTACCCCACCACACGGGGAACTGCCGAGGTCGACTAACTGTGGAGTACACATTCATGTTGGACATCCGTGAAAAAAACAGCTTGATAGTTCATCAGATTCCTCCAGTTAAAAAAGATAAAGACGCTGATTCTGATATTGCTGGGAAAGAGAGGCGGGGGTGGATTTAAGTAGCGTGCACCACTGGCTAAACCGCCACGCGGGGAGATCGAAATCAGCGACCTCTGCATTTGCATTGACACGGCGTTAGCATCTCCCCCCCCTCCTCCCCTGTTCTCCTGTCATCCAGTGCGAATGACAAATGTCGAATTTGTTTAATTGTCTTCATACGTGACCCGTTATGCAATTTACACGGCAATTGATGTTACCGTTGTATTGGGAACCTCGGTGGTAACGTATTCACCACCTAAACTCAACTTGAGTGTGTTTATTTAGTTATGCAATGGAATCGTGCCCTACTTGTACTTTAGTTATACAAAATGACTGCACCTTTCCGATGTTGGTGTCAGTGGAGGTCTCGCAGATTTCCAGGGCTTCAGATTTGGGGCATTTTGTTTCTCTCAGCTGGACTTTGACCGCATAGCGGATTCCGTTGATAACCTGGTAAAAAAATAAACATGGTTTAGAGGAAATGCATCGATATACTTACACTGGAGCATGCTGCCGGTACACCGCACCTCCGATTAGCGCGGTCGGGTTACGTACGGTGCGAAAGAAGTTCAACATACAGTACAGGGTGGTCCAGGTGTCTTGTGACCCCCCACCCCCATTGCATTCTCTAGAACTTAATATTTTAAGTAAAGTTTATTTAAAAGAGACATTAATATGCAAAGTAAACGTGTTAGGGGTCAATTCATTTGGGGGGGGGTCACAATACATCTGAACCACCCTGTACACATGTACATACTGCAGAGCCACATGCACACCAGCAACCACTCCACTCACACCTTCACTTTACCGTAACATACAAAACACATTATGTAGTAAAGAACGTCCATAATGCAACAGCATTGAAAGAGTGATGCGTACATGACGACTCATTGAGCCGCCTTTGATGCGCCTTGTCATTGAGTTATTGGAACATTGCAGGACTGTACGGTCTCATAAAAGGCACAATTGTGGCTGACACAGCATTTATGAAGTTATTGTGATTGTCTCTTAATTATTACAGTGAATGTACTCTAGAGATGATATGGGGTGTGGTGTTGATCGGAGGTGGGCCCGGTCCAAATCCCTGTACATTCACATTCAAAATACCAGACGATACACTCATGCAGTATACAGTTCAGTACGCGTAAAAACACACCAGCTAATCTGATCGTATATCAAAACAATTCTCGCTATCTCGGGTTCCCACCTCTCTCACTGTAGCACAAACACGGATATATAAATACACAATGCTAATAAGACTGGGCCTCTCAGTACTGTCAGAGTACGTAGACGAGTACCGCAGCAAAGGCTCAACACATGACCGGGACCAGAGTTGGTGGGCACAAATCAACTCCCTGCCCCCCCCCCTGCACGCACAGACGCCCAAATCACGGGACAACAACAACAGCCATTCGCCACTAAGTGGCGGTGACGGCACCACGGCGCTTGTGCCAGGCTAGGTGCACGTTGAGGCCACGTGAAATGTCGAATGTCCGCTGGCAGGAGGCCACGGGGCAGACCCAGCAGGTGCCAAGAGTTTCCCAGGTATGGGAACTCTCCACTCTCTCCACTACTGCCCCATCACCGATTGGGAGTTGTGGGGGTGGAGTGTCCGGTGGTACAAAATACCCAGGCAGGTGCTTCGTTTTGGTGGGGCTGATGGTAAAACCCCAAACCTCTTGGTGGCACGCTCCAGTCTCAGCAGCAGCGTCTCCAACTCCTCCTCTGAGTGAGCAGCAATCACCAGATCATCGACATACATAATGACGTGGTTTGAGCAATAGGGAGCCATCCCTCGACCACACGGCTACCACACACACGAGGAAGACGAAGAGAACCACGTCGTGGAGCCTGAACAGTCGGGGGAAGGGCTGTGAGCTAGTGAGGGTGGGTGGCTCGCACCACGCCCGGCCGCCTTTGTCTCCAATAAGTGTGACGATGGTTAACACGCGCATTAGCATACACACACTTCTCACAGACACATACATAGACACACACAGACACACGCGCCTGTCAATGTACACACATAGACACACAGACACACACATAGACACACAAACACACAGACAGACACACACATAGACACACACACACAGACACACACACACAGACACACATAGACACACACATAGACACACACAGACACACACACACAGACACACACGCCTGTCGATGTGCACACTCTCCAGCCAACGAGCCGACGGGTGCCGGCATCACGCACCTGTCCATGTACACACACACACAGACACACATAGACACAGACACACAGACACACACACACAGACACACATAGACACACAGACACACACACAGACACACACATAGACACACACACAGACACACACAGCCACACACACAGACACACACAGCCACACACACAGACACACACACACACACACAGACACACACACAGACACACACACAGACACACACACACATAGACACGACACACACAGACACACACACAGACACACAGACACACACACAGACACACACAGACACACACACAGACAGACACACACACAGACACACACACACAGACACACACAGACACACACACAGACACACACACATAGACACACACAGACACACACACGCACAGACACACACACAGACACACACACACACAGACACACACACAGACACACACACACATAGACACACACACAGTCACACACATAGACACACACAGACACACACACAGACACACACACACATAGACACACACACAGTCACACACATAGACACACACAGACACACACACACATAGACACACACACAGACACACACACGCACCTGCCGCTCCGCCGCCAGGATCTCGTCCACAGTCTCCCACGTGGCGCCGTCGCTCTCGGCGTTCAGCTTCGCCACCGCCTTGTCCAGCAGCATCTTCATCTCGGTGTTGTCCACCCCGATGGACAGGACGCCTCCAAGCAGCTGCTGCGGCTGCTGCGGCTGCAGCTCGATGGGGTCGTCCTGCAGCTCCTCGTCATCATCCAGCTGCTGCTGCTGCTGCGTCAAGTCCGGGGCGAAGGCGGCCACCGTAAAGCAAAGCAGCATCACGCGAGCGAGCGAAGGCATCTTGGGGCTTGTTGGCTCGACTTTGCTGGGCTCGTGGCGTGTTGTTGTTGTTGTTGTCGTCGTTGTGTGTTATTACTGAAAGTTAAATTGCCCTTTTTAAAGTGCGCGAAAGCGATTTCGGAGCGCCAGTCCGTGTGTGGTTTGGTGCCCTACAGCCGCGGGAGCTTCCTGGAACAGCGCTGCGTCGTCGGCGGACGTCAGCCGCTTGACTTGCGCAGTCTGATATAATCAAGACGCCCAATAACAAATATGTGGACAAACGAGGTGTGACATTACACAAGCCACCCACGTTTGCTCAAACTTTTCAAACCCGTGGGACTTGTTTGTCAAATATAACCAACAAGGCTTTGACCGGTGAAATTAACTCTTGTCTAATCAATGTGTGTCTCTCACTGTGCTTCTAGTGCGGACGATTCGCATCTAAAGGTGCCATACAAGTGCGGAAGACAACACGGGTGTACACTGCAGTTCTTTCTCAGCAGTGCCAGTTCCCCAGAGAGACACGAGACATACAGCAATTAACTTTGGCCTAAAATTATGTTATATAATTATTAAAGTTGGCAGCATATTTTTTTAAAATATATAGTTTAGAACCCAACACGTTCTATTGCAGTACTTTACAAACACAGTAAAAGATGTATGATGAAGGTAAACACGACATGAACTAGACGGAGTGACAGCGCGACACTTAGGGGCGCGACATCAGAAAATAAATCCACAGATCACAAAATATCCACTTACTGTTTGCATAACTTTCATAAGTTTTCATTGCGTTACAGAAATCGTTCTTTTGACCGCAACGTTACATTAAAGTGTCTTTCGTTGAAAATCTCAGCTCTTCTAGAAATGCGAGTTACCACACCTCCCCCATTGGGGGGGCACCAGTTAAATACAAATAAAGACGCTAAAGTAAAAGCATCAACCCCACCACATTTGTAACAAATTTCAGCTTTCTCAAGCTTCACCCTACCCCGATTTCGGTGGGGCCATTTGATTTGTATATGGAAAATGTGGCTGCTTAATGGGGGCATTAGAAGCCTGACACGTTTTAGTTCATGTCAGTATCAGAAATTGCGGTTGCTAGAATGTTGACAGGGAATTGTAATCCCATCAGCTTCGTTTTCAATGAAAACACATTTTGAAAGTACGAGTTGAATGATGTAGAGTAGTGATAATCATATAAGAACTTCCGGCTAAACGAATAAGTAAAATTACAGCACGTTACCGCTTACATGTGTTCGTTTAGCATCATAGAGTACAGTACTGTACTACATGTCTACAATACTGGTACATTTGATTGTGCAACATATAACAATATCACAACTCTGCTACAACACACACAAACACACGTGAATGTGTTCCCCAGCCACTAATGTACACTAATGTGGTGACGTACCATTGTGTATTTGTTAAACCCTCTCTGCTGTCAATATTTAGATCCACCTTTTCCCAGTTAAGACCGTTGATAAATTTAATTTTAAAAATTCATGGGTTTCGCCAAGAATCTCTTAATTTCAGCGTTGCTAACACCACCAGGCAGTTATGTAAATCCGGAACAATGGCGACAGTCATGAAACTTAGCGGCACTCGAGTAAGTGAAGACATTTAGATGTTTGACCTTTTTCACCTTTTGTTCCAAATTGGAGGCATGCCTCTTGACACTGCACCAAAGTGAATGAAGCGCAACTTCTATGGGAGGAGTCTTGCTTTCAAAGTCAAACTCCCCGTCAAGTACACACACACACCTACGTCATTCAGCTTAACATGAATGCTGTCGGATGCAATTAAGATCTCAACGTAATTAAACTCTAAGTGGTCAAGCCGATAATGACCTTATAAATAGTTCTCTTAATTTGCTGAAACATTTCAGCACGTCGCATTTGTTTGTTTTGCTTTTGCTATTTGAAGTTAAGAGGCACATTATTCAAATCAGTGTGTCTCCATGTGCTAGAGTGCATACAGTTTACATTTAATCATACAATACAAGTGCTTACCACAGACATTACAGGACAATAGTTTTCATCAGCCTGGAAGTGGTGGTGCACACCTTTAAATACAGCACTGACCAGTGTAATGAGTATCTTTTAAAAACGATGTGGTATAAGTATTTATTAGCTTGCAGCACTTTTTTATGTTGTACAGTAGTATCAAATCTATTAGTTTTGTGTTACTTAATCACAGTAATTTCCCAAAACAACTAAAGCTACTACAATTACAGGTGGCAGGACTAGTGGGGAAATAACTGCACACTCTGGCACAAATGTATATGTTTAGGCAAAGATTGTATAATCATTGTCGGTAGCAAGAGTTTTGGTACGAATTTATGGCTAGGACGTGTCATGAGAGAGGAAAACAGCATCAGATCAAAGGTAACAAACATGGAGACGTCAGGGTGGAGATCGAGAGGCAGAAGTGCAAAGGGGCGGTTTGAAGTGGTGAACCCAGGGTCATTTCCAGGACTTGAGAAGATGTGGAGATGGCCCAGGACATGAACGAGTGGATAGAGAGGACCCAGGAAGGCATACCCAAAATAAGTGGAGCAAATTCCAGGAAAAAGAAGATATACATGCAAAGAATTAAATACACTTTGTCCTGCAATAAACTCCCAAAACAGCAACATACTTCATGTAATATTACTACTAGCAGATAGTAATTATATACATAAAACATATACTACACATGGCCTCACCATTTTAAGCATCGGCTTCATATTTCTGGCACATTTGCCGAGCGGTTAACGTTCATGATTTTAATCATTTTGTCCCCTTTTTGTCAAGGTGCTAGCAGGCTTTATAAACATATTGCTGCAAACATCTATACCACGGACATAGAATCCTTGGAATGCTGTAGTTGAAAGGTACCTTTGTTGTATATTTGCGCAGACGTATTTGGAAAGGGCGGTGTTGGGAATGGCAAGAAATGGTTGACACAGTCACCTATGGGTATCACAAGGACTTGTACCCTGGCGTATTGTTACGAACTTTTATTGAGTTGACTTCGAGGGTTGGTGGGTCGTGCAGAGATGGCGTTAGGATTGATCACCCTGTCGCTGGCCGCCTTTGGGGAGGGTGTATAGTATGAAAGGCCGAAACTCCCGAGGAACCAAAGGTTCACTACTGACGATGCGCTCCCCAAATTTTACCAGGCTCACTGTTCATGAACTCTTGGAAGTGCTTGCACAAAGGATAGTAACATCTCATCCTGTGTTCTTGGAATCCGAGGGTTGGTGGGTCGTGCAGAGATGGCGTTATGGGTATGCACAATACTGTATTTCGTCTTATAACCTGCACCAGCAGGGCAACGAGGGGCCTGTGTGGAAGAACGACAGTTTGAGTGCTTTCCCCTCATTTGCATTGCTTTTTTTATTTAAATCCTTTATATTAAGTTCACTTGCTTGCTTACGTGCTTACGACCGTGCAAATCTTTCGGTCGTTTTTTAACCCACTTCCGTGATCCAATCGAGCTGACATTTTGCACACAGACTAGTTGAGCGTGACAATTTATTTTCAAAAATTTTACACTTTTTAGGAAAAAAATATATATATTTAATTACCAATTGCTTAATGGTGGCAGGCAATCATCTGACCCATAGGTGGCAGCCATCTCAAGCCAGAGGACGAGAGGACACTAGCCGCCACGCATATAAAGGATTTATAGTGAAAAACTTTGTTTTTACGGGTTTATTTTTCTTTATTCACACCGGTTTCCTTCCACGTAAAAAAACAAGTTTGGCCAAATATCGAAGGTGTTACCTCTTAGGTACAAAGCAACGAGAAAATATAATGAATATCTCGCTACACTGGATCAGGAGAGAAGTAGATATAAATGCATTGAGTTGTGTATTATTAGTTGTGTATTATTAGTTGTGTATTAATACACACAAAAGTAGAAAGGTCTTGGACAAGTCAAGACAGGTGGTAACACTACGAGCATCCTAAGCAAGACCCTCCTGATATGAGTTTCTACTCGGTAACACTTAGTAGCACTGTACAACATATTCATTAAATTTGTATTTATACTTTTAAGTTATTTTTGACAGTGACATTGTTTGTGTTTAGAGATTGTTCATGGTAATAATTTTATAATTTTCAGTCCTTGGTCAAAGGACTGCTGGATTATGTCCTCCCCACGTCGTGTGTCGGTCATGGGTCTTGTTTGAGCACACTTCACCACGCTGGTCAGAGCAGCTTGGTGATGGAGGATGCAGCGTTCCCGTGACTGGTTCAGATTTTGGGAGAGCAACTTTACAAATACTGGACTAGAAATGGTCAATAAGAGTTTTACAATCACTCGGAAATTAATAAGTAATATGTTCTAATCATGTCACAGATTTTGTAAGATTAGAAATATGCAGCACAAATATTCACAAGCGTGCATTAATGCATCTCCAACTATGAAGCACAACTTTGTTTTGTTACCATGGCCGTACGTATTTATGTTGTACACAAAACTTGCAACGACACATACAGTAATACACCCTTAAGGTTATTAGGCAAGCTTTGAGATGAAGTGCTTATAGAATTAATTTATCTGTGGTTAAGGATTATTAAGCACTTTTACAGTTCCAATAAATCATATGTCATCACAGAGAAAATATTGTATGTCTTTAACTTCGCATTTTAATGAATAGTTTTAGAGGTTAAATGCATTCATTTAAATAATATATTTGGACGTAAACATATTGTTAGGCAACATAATGATTTGCTTAAGTAAATGCAGATCGTTTGATTTTTTTGTAAAGCTAAACCTCAATGTAATTACTTATTACATGTGCATCCTTCCAGAACGATATTATTTATTTATAATCCTGCATCCTGCCAGAACCTTCCATAGCACGAACATACACTTTTAATGCAATACAATTGTATGTAATTACATTGCATTCAAATCTAAAGTGCAGAGGCAGAAAAACATGTCGTACACTGCCATTGGCAAAGTCTTTCTCATCGTTCCCAGCACATATAAGCGAGAGTGATGATTGTTTTTGACACGTAACCTACACACAAAGGCACATTTATCACTTCGCTTGAAATTACTTTGTGGGAATCGGTGTGGCTCCCGCTGGAAACGTGTGCCGTGGCTGGCCACAGAGATCAATCACGACCTTGGTGGAATACATCAAATCACGAATCCTCCTCGGGCGCTTCTTTTTCCATTCTTCGTGCTCGAAGTTGCAACATTTGGATCACACAGTACCCAGTACCTTCAACAT